GCTGTCCTGGAACTAGCTCTTGTAGACTAGGCTGGTCTTGAACTCACAGAGATCCACCTGCCTCTGCCTCCCGGGTGGTGGGGTTAAAGGCGTGTGCCACCACTGCCCCCACTAAACCTCTTTTCTTTATAAATGTACCCAGCCTGTATTTCATTACAGTGTTTGATAACTGACAAATACAAGGTTATGAGGGTTTTTTTTTCTTGCTCTGTTGTTCTGTATATCTCCCTAAATGCTCATAACAGTCAGCTATAACCAAATGCAAAAGCTTGATTTTTTTTGTGAGTGTGAGTGAAACCAACAACACTACAGAATCAGAAATGTAGAGCAAATGATGTTTTGGAGACACAAATGTTCCATGAGATCTTGAGATGCTAGGGTGGTACTGGGTACTGGGCATCCCACTGCAGAGAGGAGGGGGTGGAAAAAATTGCATTTGAATACCATAAGATCCAACCCCCTGGGATGGATGATTTGGAACTACTCAGATGGCAGAGATGTGGGACATGGTTGAGCCTGCAGGTTTCCTCCTTGGTTAAGCTACACTGTGCCTTCCTTGCAGAACTGCTCTGTGGTTCCTTCCTCGCTGTACACAAGAGATCCATCTTCCAAAAGTAACTTTTCTTTTCTGGAACTTTTGATATTTGCCACACTTGGCGTAGGGAAAGATTGGCAACAGGAGACCCACGTGCTGTGCAGTTGGATTGTCTGAATGGAACGATGAAACACAATAGCCAACTAATGACCTAGATTGGGAAAACATTTCTGAAATAAAAAAGGGCTCCACCTTACTTTGGAAAAAATACATCACGTACTGGTGAGACGGCTCAGCTGATAAAAGTGCCTGCCAGGAAGCTTGATGGCCTAAGCTCGATCCTCAGGTCCCACAGCAGAAGGACAGAACTGCCCTCCAGAAATGCCTCAGTCTCTGCTTCTCAGGTATCCACTAACCAACCACCTGTGACACATACTCCAGCAAAAAGGAAGTACCACCATCCAAGAGAAACACAGAAACACCTGAGGAGGATTGGAGGCCTCCAAAGGAAGCCTCATAGGAGGGTGCTTGAGCAAATAGCAGGGGTCACTCAGGCAGACGCTCACTCACAGCATCCATGAGGTGCACAAAACAGGACAAAGTCAGACAGACAGCCATTATTTTTAATTCAAAGTAAGACATCACCTGGGCCAGAGGCCTGGCATTTGCCTGCCACATGAGGAAAGCCTGTTGTGCTCTCAGCTTGCCTGACAGATGCAGGCTCAACACATAAGGAGCTTCAGAATCCCCCTATACTGGACTGTGGTGGAGCTGGATGCAGAACAGGTCTTGCTGACAAAATCCTTGATGATGTGCAAAGGCCAGGGCCAGGGACTGCCAGGGTACTGGCCCAGCTCCCCCACTTTGAAGGGAGTCCCAGAGACTCCTTTTGTGCTGGGGTTTTAGAGAAGGTAAGTTAAAGTCTTGGCAGGCAGTACACTGCTCCAGTACAGGCAGCTGGTAGGGCTGGAAGGAAGTGGAGCCAAGTTCTAGTGTGGTGAACACTGCAGAGTCTAAGAGGTCACATGGCAGCTCCAGGTTCAGGGTGTTCTGCAATTTCACTGACCTGAGAATAGGCACAGACAGCTTCCTCTGCCTTCTGCCCAAGCCTCTTCCTGCCAGCCTGTCCAATCCATTTGTCCTGGGTGTGGCCATATGTCAGACTAAAGCAAGCCTGGGTAAGAGGCAGATGCCAAAGTTCTCCTTGAATTATGTAATCTTTACCCGTCCTCTTTGTCCTCATTCTGGTGGGGGAGGTCATCGGGGCCAAGCAGCACTGAATTCCTTCTCCAGATCTTGGACAAACTGGTCATTGAGGAAAAGCAACTGCCCATGCGGCAGGAAGCGGGTGAGGATTCCCTCAATGCGGTCAGACCGCAACAAGAAGTTGTTACCTGGTGTCAGTAGCCGGAGGTGGTCAAGAAGGAGGCGGACCAACAGCCGGAGTGTACTCTCAGCCAGTAGCAAGTTCTCATGAGTGTCCAGCACCAGGGCAAAGCCTAGGGAGAGCACACCCATCCACACCACCGTCTGTGGCTCCTGGAAAGGGTCCCCAGCTCCCAGGAAGAAGGCTCCATGAGGGGCCTCGTGAAGGGACACAGTCTCATCTGAGAACTGAGGCTGCAGGTCTGTGGAGGGACATCCAGATGCTTGCTGCTGCAGCCTGCACAGTGACTCCACCTGTCTGGAAGAGGAGGTGGGTCAGTCTGGCAGCTGAGAGGCCTGGTAAGACCACCAAGGCACCACCCCCCACACAGATACTTCCGTCAACTTCACAACTTCCACTGTAGCTGGGAGCTGCCAGTATCTCATATCTTGGGTAAGGAAACTTAGGCTTAGAAAGCTTAAGAGGTCTGCCCAGGGACACAGAGCCAGAGAAATGTGATGATACGAAAATCCAGACTCCAGTCTGCAGGCTCCGAACCACTTTACTCTAAATGGCCAAGAGAAGACAGGATCTGAACACAGCTCCTCAGGCTGGGAAAAGGACTAGGGGGTGAGGTCTTGTCTTACCTGCCTCAAAGAAGCCTCCTCAACAAAGAGGCAAATAAGTGATAAGAACACAGTCATCCAACGGGGCCATCTGACCTCTCAACCACTCACCCTTCTCAAAGTCATAAGCACCTCCCATGTAACTGTCAAGGCTGCCACCCCACTGCTTCCTGAATCATCTTCTAGATTAGGCCACTCACAGACTGGCTTTAAAGCCATTTGTTTAGCCAGGTATAGTGATGCATGCCTATAATTCCAGCATTGGGAGGCTGAAGCAGGTTTATAGTCATTCTGGAATACAGAGAGGTAGAGGCCAGCTTGAACTAGATAATTAGGTTCTGTCTCAAAACCAAGCAAATAACTCTAATAGGCCACTGTTTAGTTCTCGGTCTGTGCTGCAAGAGGGGAACCAGGTCAAGAATAAGGGTGTGGCAGGAGCTGGCAAAGAGCTGATCACTTCATGTGAGTCTGGGATGGAAAGATCCCCCGTGTAGCCACTTCCCTTATACAGGGTTTCCCAAAACTGCTCTGAGTCTCTGGCATTCAGCAGCCCTGAGCAGAGTCCTAATATACCGTGTTCTCTCTCTTATGAAGAACTCAATTGTAAAGCACGTTTCTCCTGCACGAGTCTGCTGCCTATACTCAAATCTCCATTTCTAGTCACTTTTTAGTTGCTTAACCTTGGGTAGGTTAAGTTCCTTAAACACTCGGTATTTTAGTTTATTCTTCTGTAAAGTGAAGATCGTAACCATAGCCACCTCAGAAGACTGTGAGGATTAAATAACAAACATGAAATTCCCAGAACCATCGTAATGATAATTGCATCTTTCTTTGACTCTTTTTCATAGTAATACTTATAAGCAGTGGTGGGAGATGAGGGAAACATTCTGATTCTTAGTCTTCCTTCACTGTCCCATTCCAGCGTCCCTCATAATCAGCTCTGTGTCTAATGAAGTTTGGGGCTGGGCTGTGACATTACCTGGCCACCGCCAAAATCTGTTCCTTGCGGAAGAGCCTGTCCCTTTCTGCACCATGTGGCCGTGGATCATCGGGTGACTTCTCAGCACCAAAGACACAGGAGTAGAGCACTCGGCAAAGGCCTGTATCTTCCAAATTCGGGGCCCTCAAGGTGTGGATGAGGAAGGCATGGACCATGGCTCCAGATGGATGGGTGCTCCAGAGACCTAGGAGGTGAAAGTGAAGCCCCCACTTAGGAGGCACCCTCAAGAAGGGTGTGACCTGAGAGTGTGTCCAGAAAGTGTGATGGTTGGACACTGATCACTTATCTACTTAGATATGCCTAACCATTGAATAATGTAGTGTCTTGTCTGCATGACAGAACAAGGCCCCATGGCTGGAAATATCTCACACAACACTAAACCTACTTCTGCAAAACTATCCGGAAATCTCCAAAGCATCAAGGTCATGAGAGTGCAGGAAAAACTGACGGGCTGAAGGAAATCAGAGACCACAGCTGAATGTAATGCCTGCTCCTGAAACAAAAATAACCCAGACTTCACACCGGGCACCATGAAGACAACTTTAAGTATGGAGTATGAGATGGAAGTCTGGATCGAAGCCACTTGGTTTTGAATATAGGAACGTGTCTTTGTTTTAGAAAATACACAAGAAAATACCTCTAAATGCCGTATCTGCAAATGACTCTGATCATTTGGGAGAAAAAGTACAGAGAGTGTGAGACAACCCTTATCCAAAGGCATCTATCTAGTTAACCAAAACTATTTCAAAAATAAGACATGGTGGCACATACCTGAAATCCCAGCACTCGGGAGGTGCGGGCAAGAGGATCAGAAATTCAAGTCAGTCACAGATACATGGGGAGTCCCTTGCTGCTCTGGACAACATGGGACAGTGGCGACCCCGGGGTCGCAAGGCTGAGAGGACTCTGTGGTTAGCCCCGGTTAAGGCTAACCAGATCAAGAATTCAAAGTTACCCAACAGGAAAGTTCGCAAACCCGCTTCAGGAAGAGAAGTCAGATTTGTAAGACTTGACCTCTGGTCACCTTTCTGCCGCCAGCAGGGCGCGTAATCATTCCCGGCCCCACTTACGTCACTGCTCCGCGCCGGCATCGGCGCGCTGGACTCTGGGGGTTATAGTGCGAACGCAGCCCTGGCCAGGCCTGTTGTCAGGATGTGGCGCCCTACTTCGCAAGGGCGAGCAGGCTTCTGATCAGCCGACCCCGCAGCTGCGAGAGCGCGCTGGAGGGTTCGGGGCGCGGGCGAGCTTCTTTGGAGGCGCTAGAAAGCCCTTGACTAGCTGCGGCCTGGGCACCGCGAGGATGGCCGCCAGGGGGCGGTGAGGCCGCCGCGAACTGACCGGAACTTTCCACGGATGCCGCTGCACCGCTAACCCCAAGCTACGCTGTGTGCAGTGGTAATGAACAAATCGCAGGAGCAGAGACCTGCCTGCTGAAATTCACATCAGAATGTGATGACTTTGGAAGGAGATATGAATATGTAGACATTGTTGGTTCCGTTAGTGGATTAAGGCTGGTCCTGGATTTGACATAGGATTCCAATTCGTCTCAACTTCGTTGTAGTTGTGTATCCCTGGCAGGTCTGCCGACTTTGTTAGGCCCCAGTGAAACCCCATATAGTGACAGCTGGGGCAAGTGTTTAAGGCTATTTTTCCCTTTTGTAGCTGCTGCTTAACTCCCTACAGGGAGACTTAAAACTAAAGTTTGGACCAGGTAGTGCCAGGCACCAGCTTTAGGGTGAAGATCCAGTCTGGAAACACGGCCCAAGAGATGTTTGGGGCAAAGATGCACACACATTCTTTTACCTCTTGCAAGGCATGTCAATTCCTTAGGCTTCCTTAAGAATATCCCAGAGTTCTGTGCCTCAAAGTCCCCACCAGGGCCGTCTCCTCAGATTAGAATTCTTTCCCCTTTCTAAATGACTGACCAAAAATTTTTGTCTCTTGTGAGGAACACATCTCTACTATGGTTCCCGTCTTCACTCCCCAAGGCCAGGACTGTAGTTACTTGAATACTGTCTTGTGACAAAAAAAAATTAAAGAACAGAGTGGCCCAGGCAGAGGTTCTGAAGAAAGACCTCCAGGAAGGAATACATTCTGGATCCTTTGGGCCGTAAGAATGTGCAGTTTGTAGGGGGAATGGGTAGTGCACAGGCTGGAGGGGGCGGGTGTTGATGTCAGGTGAAGATGGAAATTTGGGCCCAGAAGCAGTGTAGGGCCTCAATCAGAGAGCTAGAGAATGGTATTGGCTCCATTCTTGGCAATAGTTCCTAGTCACCAGTCCCTATCACTCTGGGCCAGGCCTCATGCTGCCAGCAGATTGTAGCAGAGAACTGGTAGAGGTCTGTGGCTGCTGGGGGCATTGGGAACATGATATCCTGGCCTCTGTTCACTACTCAGGCAGCCCATGTCAAGACCAAAACCACTGGAGAACTGACCTTGTGTGGGATGTCTAGAGAAGAGTGCATTGAGCATTTGTCCTGGAAGACAGTGGAGGACCCGGATGAGTGTGGTACCACAGAAGGCCTCCCTGGTGAGCACTGGGGGCAGGCAGCAGTGGAGGTCTCGCCTGATGGTTTTGCTTAAGGGCTGTTGTGGGAGTGCCCTGGGAGATCTTTTCCTTGTGGCCACTGGCCTCTTCTGAACCTGTGCTTCAGAGTCTGTTGGGCCCACCTGGAAATATTCACCCATGCGGGGACTCTGACATGGCCCAAAGCAGCCAGTTCGGTAGTGTCCACTTCATGTTAGCCATACTGAAATAATCATTTACTTTGTATTCTTTTGTTGTTGTTTCTCTCTGTATAGCCCTGGCTGGCCTCAAACTCAGAGATCTGAATGTCTCTGCCTCCCAAGTGATGGGATTAAAGGCATGAGCCGTCACTGCCCAACTTGAATTCTGGTTTTAAAATGAACTAAGAGCCAGAAAGTGCATGCCTTCAATCCGAGCACTGGAGAGGCAGAGGCAACCAGTTGAGGAAACATAGTGAGATCTTTCTCAAAAAGAAATAAATAAGCTAAGAATGTAATAGAATCCTTTTCCTGCACTGGAAAGATACACGACTTGAGTTAAGCATGGTTCAGATTTATAATATAAAAAGAAAGTTGGGCATAGCCTCTCCTTTGGCAGATGACTAAGTCACACATCACAGTGCTGAATGGAAAGTATTTGGAGCATGAGCTCTGCTTCCCACAGCAGCCAGCATGGAGGGAAGAGAGGAAGAAGGGAGAGCTTGAACAAGATGGTGAAGGATGGACATGACCTGAAAGGGAATAGAGAGCCTAATATGAAAGCAAGAATGCTTTCCCTGGGGAGACACAAACAAACCTGACCTGCTTTTGTACAGAGCATGATGACAAAGCAGAGATTGCACCAGAGCCCAACTTGGGGAAAGCGTGAGTTCCACCAGCCTGTTTATTATGCACACACAGCGGGAGCGGCTGGATAGTCTCAGTAGGCAGTCTCTGGAGGTGAACAGTCTCAGGCTGTACCATCCAGGAGGAGGACACCAGAGTTGCTAGTCCTTGCACACACTGATTGATCGGTCATAAACACTTACACACTGACTCCTTGGGAAAGATTTGCCATCCCTCTCATGCCTGGCCCAAATGTGTTTTGCAAATTTCCCGTGAGTCAATTGGAGTATTTGACAGGCTGTGCCCTTGTCAAAATACGCATTCACTTGGGACTTCCCTCACTCACTCAGTGCTTCCTCCCCTCCCTATGGGAATGGCAACAATCAACAAGCCTGATCTTGGGAGTCTCTTGCAAAGACTCATGGCTATTCTGATGAAAATGATGGCTGTTCTACTTTGGAGGATAGCATTCAACAACAGGTTCAAATGCTTGGAATCACAGCACTTGGGAGGTAAAGGCAAGAAGATCATGAATTCAAGGCCAGCCTCAGCTACATAATGAATTTGAGGCTAACCTGAGTTACTCAAGACACTGCCTAAAACTGGGGGTCAGGAGGAGGAAAGTGTGTTATCCATTCATGAGCTGAGGACAGTCCTCTTAGTACTTCTAGCAGGTTCTATGCAGATAAGTGCAGTAGCCACAGCAGGTAGGAGTTTACAAAAAAGGAGCAACAAGCCTGGCAGGGTGGTGGTGGCACTCACCTTTAATCCCAGCACTTGGGAGGCAGAGGCAGGCAGATCTCTGTGAGTTTGAGGCCAGCCTGGTCTACAAAGTGAGTTCCGGGACAGTCAGAGCTGTTACACATAGAAACCCTGTCTCAAACAGAGAGAGAGGGAGAGAGGAAGGAGGGAGAAAGAAAAGAAAAGAAGCCGGGCGGTGGTGTTGCACACCTTTAATCCCAGCACTCAGGAGACAGAGGCAGGTGGATCTCTGTGAGTTCAAGACCAGCCTTGTCTACAAGAGCTAGTTCCAGGACAGCCTCCAAAGCCACAGAGGAACCCTGTCTCGCAAAAAAAAAAAAAAAAAAAAAAAAAAAAAAGACAACAAATTACAAATGGTAAGAATCCAAGTATTGACCCTACAGGAGCAATCTGTGTAGACCCCATGGAGGAGGTAATATCTTCAGACTAAGTTGTAGCAAATACAAATGGTGGGAAAAAGCCAGTCTTCCTAGGTTCAGACTCTCATAACCTTGCTGTGTTATCCCGAGGACCAGAGTCCCATTGAAAGACCCCTGCCCCTTAGCCCTTTCTTTCTCAAGTTTGTCATGAGCACCAGGTGGGTCAGCACGAGGGCGAGCACCAGGTGGGCCGGCACGAGAACAAACACCAAGTGAGCCGGCCTGGAGCCCTGCCCCTGAGCCCCCGCCCCATGAGAAACACTCCGTCCCAAGGTCTCCGCCCCCAAGGTAAGCCATCTGGACGCGGAGGGGGGGGGAATTGAGTCT